AAAATTTAATTGGTTGATTTAACTTTATTATTTGTCCAAAACTCAATGGAATCTTGCCAACTGGCATTCTGTAAACCAGTATGTACAAATAACATGCATATGTAGCATTTCTCGTTATTTATTGAACATTGCTTGATGTACATGGGAAACATTGTCAAGAAATTTATAGGGGAATGTGGCATTTTATAATTGGGAGTTGGTCAAAAAAGAGAAAAAAAGGCAATCGGTGTTACACCTATAAATTACGTAGTATGCACATGAAAGAGAGGGTCCCACATATGCCGACTTGACATCAATTATTCAATTGAATTGTGCATATTTAATTAAGCAACCTTGTCTTGGGTTTGGAACTCTACTCGTTAGCACCACTTGACCCTTTTACATTTTTATATATATGTGAGTTTCATTCAATATAAGGTATGTTCTCTAACTCCAGCCAATCCCTTCTCCCTCTTTTCCACTCTTTTTATTTTTCGTCCGACCGTTAACTTGACTGTCAGAATGTAAACGATCGTCGAACCCTTTTCTCGATCGGTGACCTTTGCCTTCTAAAGGATTGTTCAATGTGCAGGTGATATGCACGTGAAGTGGACGTAATCGAAATTCTGTTGGCGCATTTTTTGAGGTCAACAACCAACACAACACCTGTATGACTTTTGGCCGTATTCCCCTATTTATTATGCCAAATGAGTAAAATTGGTGATTTGGGAATTGGTTGTACAAGTTGAAAATGAGAATATATAACGCGGTTATAGTTTTTGGATAGATTTTTATATTAATCGTAGGGCAAACTCACATTTTTTTAACAAGAATTTTTTTTTGATTTGACATAATAAATAACACGATTTGATATTATATTGGCATTTAGTTGTGCCACATGAAATTTAATGTTAATTTTTTATTAAATGATCATTAGTGTAACCATTAGAAATTGTGAAAAGAGCTTTTTTTAAAAAAGTTGCATTATATCACTTTTATTTAAATATTCTTTTAATTAGACAAAATATTTACAAAAAATTATCTAAATATATTTAAAAGCAATCTTTTACTTTTAGTAACAACTTTTAACTTTTCAGAGGCTCCGTTGAGACCAATTTGAATTTGGGTTTTGCTTTTTAGTAGCGCACATTGCATGGCAGAGGAAGAGTGTTTGGCAGTAGTCAAAACTTTAGTCTTTCTTGGGTGTGGACAGGGGCGGACCTACATGAGGCCTAGTGAGGGCCGCCGCCCCCACTCAATTTTCAGATTTTTTTAGTTTTTTTTTTTTTGTTCAGATTTTTTTCCAAAGTTTTTTGGTTTCGCCCCCACTAAACTTTCTTCCTGGGTCCGCCCCTGGGTATGGAAGGGCACCCACAAGGCCAACACGTTGTGGATTCATTCGCTTAGAGAGAGACAATACATTGAATTTGAATCTAGATTTTTATTGAACTTGATGACTTGTCGACTAAGTTTGATATGTTCTACGCATCTACATCTAGTTATAGATTAAATGCATGATTCATGCTTGTTTGTTACTTGTTGATTTCTATGTCGAAGGATCTATAGATTAGAAAAAAGTTCAGTATTTTCAAACTTATTAATTATTCCAAGTGTTGACTACAATAATTTAGTAATACGCGCATGTCTTGAAGTAATACTCATGTGTGGGCTCATACTTTTTTAAAAAGAAAAAGAAAAATAATAATGGCTACTATATCCCATAAAAGGTTCTTTTACATGAATTCTCTACATCCCTCTTAAGTGTCCTAAAATACAGTCATATCAACATAAAACGACACCATGTTCTTGAAATAATTTTCACTTACTTTCTCCAATTGGACACAAACAAGTGTGCGGAGGGACCATGAGAATCCATGCATTAGAAAGTTCAAAATACATTTGTTAACTGAAGATTGACATTCTATTTGACCCTTTTTATTTGAATTATAATTTTTAAAATAGTATTTTTTTTTTTTT